GGAATGTTCTCTGACCAAATACAACTTGAAGATTCAGCCCCAGGTGTACGTGACGCATGATCGTACAGGTAAACTCAGTGCGTTCCAGCCTAGGCTTGGAATGCATGGACACACCATGAATGCATGAACGCACCGAAATGCATGAACGCACATATATGAACAAGTTATCACAAATTTGTGTAGCTGGCACGACCTGCAGCTGCTCCATTACTGATGCTTACGTAATAATCTAGGAAAACAAGCAGAAGCTCATTTCGCTATGCGTCATTATGCTGGCATTGTTCGGTACAATGTGATCAACTGGTTAGAAAAAAATAAAGATCCGCTGAACGATACGGTAGCAGCATGCCTGAAAGCTTCTTCAGGCAATAAGTTGCTTCCTGAAATATGGGCAGATTATGTCACGCAGGAAGAGGTAAGCGGCTATCAGTCTTGAAAGCGAAGCTGAATAATAAATTGCTGCAACCGCTGTTCTAGGGTTTCAGGAAAAAAATCAGTCAGTCAGTTCCAAATTGTATCCTAGCTGGAGAAAAAAAGGTGGACAGGCAACCAAAGAGCAGTTTCTCATACTCATAAGCAGGAGTGCTAAAACGGAGATACAAATGCAAAAGGAGATGTAGAGGGCATAAGCACAGAACGACAATACTGTACGAACTTTCGATGCTATCAATACCTGTTCTCCAAATGATATTTGCCGCAAATTCATGATTAAAGTTTGTATTTGTGAACTCAATCTTAAGCTTTATAACTTTTCTTCAAAAATGGCTAACTTGGTATTTCCGGCTTCGCATGCCGTCAAAGGCGGTCACAAGAAAAAGGGCAAATCAGGATCATTCATGACCGTATCGATGATGTATCGCGAATCACTGAATAATCTAATGAGTATGTTATACAAAACACATCCGCACTTTATCCGCTGCATTATTCCGAACGAGAAAAAAGAGTCGGGCTTGCTGGAAGCTGCTTTGGTGCTAAATCAACTAACCTGCAACGGCGTGCTAGAAGGTACAAATTTGCCAACTGCTGAATAGCTTTGTAATCGCTTCCCGTGTAAGACACGGGAAGAGATTACAAAGCAGTGAAAATTTTCGAGAATGCGAATTATCGTTATCCTACCATACTGTCTTATAAACAGTTCTAAAATGAGGCAAAGCTAATTCTCTGAAAAATCTTCGAGAATTTCAATAGTTTAGGCATTCGCATCTGCCGTAAAGGATTCCCAAACAGGACTCTGCATCTTGACTATGTGCAGAGGTATGCTATATTATGTGCCGATGAGTCGAAATCGAGTTCGGACCCAAAACAATGCGCTATTAAAATGCTGGAACGTTTGGTGAATGAAGGGACAATGAAGGAGGAAATGTACAGAATTGGTCTGACCAAGGTTGTAATGCTTATCAAGTCGAATAGCAAAGCAACGATAGCTCAAAGAGCAATATTTAGTAATTTGTTGCAGCAGCGAGAATCGTGCAGATAAGCCTGAACTGCAAAAGCTAACTTAGCAAGGGAAGAAATCACAATTGAGGCATATGGCCACTGGTTAACACAATGTCCGAGATCGCCTAGAAAACCAGTTTGAGGAGGATTTTTTAAATGGTGTTACCGGAATGCAACAACATAATGTGTGTGGTTGTGGGATGCCATTCTGGCACTGATGTTATTACTAAATATTGCATTATTCCAGGTATTCTTCAAAGCGGGTGTATTGGCGCATCTTGAAGACCTTCGTGATGAACGACTGGGAGAAATTTTAACTGGTTTGCAAGCAAGAATCCGATCTTACCAACAACTGGTATGATTTTTTTGTGGCAATAACAAGTACCATTATTACTGCCTGGGAAACTACAATAAAGCAGGTGACGTTCTTTAAAGTTCAACCATTCTCGACTGAAAAATCCCAGCGCATGCGCGCATACACACACACACACACA